CAAGTAGACAAGTAGACAAGTAGACAAGTAGACAAGTAGAAAAGTAGACAAGTAGAAAAGTAGACAAGTAGACAGGTAGACAAGTAATCAAGCAGACTAGTAGTTCCAAGGAGAAAAGTAGACAAGTAGACAAGTAGATAAGTAGACAAACAATGCTAATTCACCCTTGAATTGTGTTGCATGTTGAATTGAAAATGAAAGTTTACTGAAATGACAATTCTAAATTTTCTCCATGTATAAATCTTAAAGGGCAACACGGGGTTAACCTAACAGGTCCTTCTATTGTGCAATTAGAAAAGAAATTTATAAAAAATGCCTGTTTAAACATTTTCTAGCCCTACATTTCCACAATTTCTCTTTTCCTGAAAAATATAAAAGAAATTAGAAATCTCTTTATTTCCCAGATTTTCAATTGAAATAAAAGTTCCGCCTTTTATTCACCATCTACATATACATTTTTAGAAATTCTTAAGAATACGAATTTGCAAAGAAAAACTTTCTCACAAGTTTTAATCAGTAAAAAAATAATTCCGCTTATGGTGTAATCCCATTCTAGAAATATTGTATTAAGAAAATAAATATTCGAATAAACACTGTCTGATAAAAAAAGGGGTTCCATAATATTTTGCTGCCATTTATTCCCTTTTTTACAATTGTACACTGTCTCCCATCATTGTCTATGTAGTCCCTATTTGCCACACATACCATTTTGGCTTTCTTTGCCCNATTAATAACAAGCATTTTTCTTTCTAGAGTATCAATCAAAACTTACAAGATAAATCAACATTGTATTTTAATTGAATAATATATAAAAAAATTATTTTTGATTTTTAAAGGGACTGTTAAGTAAAAATGAAGGGGGTATAGGCTGAAACCTAAACCCTTACAGCCTATACACCCCCTTAACCATCAAACGTTAATATTTTGTTGTTTCTTTGGGTTGAAAATAAACAATATTTACAATCCATAGTTTGCTGCAGATGTATTATTTAACATCTATCATTTCTCTCTCTTTCTAGATTTTATAGGTATCCCTGTACTTTTGATTTGCTTGAATTTGCAATTGGTTCATGCAATTGTTAAAACTTAATCAGCGAAGTAGATATCCTTCTTAAAGGGAGTGACCGGAAATGTATGGTAGTTGAACTGAGTATTGTGGAGAATTTTTTTGGGATTCATTTGAGACCTATGAGACGATTTTACGGTGCATATATGTTTAGCAAGAGCGCAAATTCAATCTTTAAAACCTTCATAGATTGTTCATTTTTAGGGATGGTTTTGAGAATCGGTTAAAAAAATATTCACTCCCTTTAACATTAAAATTTAGAATTATTTTATGATAGAAATTAGATAAATATTAAATACTGAGTGATCAAAATACAATTACGAATAAATGTCTAAAAAATGTTAAAAATAAGCCAAAAATAAAAAAAAATTCTAAGAATTGTCTGGAAAGCTGGTTATAAATTCGAAATTAGATCCACTCTCAACCTAATATGACGTGGAACTGGAACACTATGTAGAGTGGATAGATATATATATTTGCTTGACCAAGTAAATATAACTGATTAAGAAAGTATCCAGTTAAGAATAAACATAATGCAAATATTACAACATAATACAATAATACGAATACAGAGGAAAATATATTTATAAAGAAAATCAAACAAAGCGCAACGGACCCTATAAACTTTAATTCTCCCAATAAAAGAAATAAGTAAGAATAACAATTATTCAAAAGTGCGAAAAAAGTGAGGTTTTAAATGAAGGCTTACTGTAAAACCGAGACAGCTAGAGAGAAAACTTGTTTGGTCCTGTCCCCCCCCCCATTCAAAATACATGAATACGCCCTTGGATAAAACTTTGTATATAGCAGAAACTCTGAGCCGGAAATTAAAGAATGTATCGTTGAACGAAACCCTCCGAGTTTTCTTTTTGGGGTCTAAACATTTGTGTAGATTTTAATTTAAGAATCAGAAAACTAAAAGAGAATATAAAGAAACCACATGAAATAATATTTCTTAACAAAATATTGGTATCAACAAAAACTGCCTGACCGGCCATGCATAAAATCTGATTTCCGATACTGGGTTTCATTACAAGGAGGAGAGGGGGAAACCCAAGAAACACTGTGCATAAAGATGGATATGGGAGTAGGGGAATCTTTAGACATTGTCTGATTCACTCTTAGAAATATAATACCTAGGGGACTACAGTGGAGAGAGAGAGAGGTTGCATATCATATTAAAATAATTTTTAAAACTATTTTTCAGAAATTTCATATTTGCTTTACAATATGATTTCACTTGAATTCATGTTGATCTGGATTTTTTAAAAAACGGTTTTAAAAGTGAAGAAAAATTATCTCTTCATCCTTTCATCTTTTAGCATTTAAATTTTTTGCAATGAACAACATGATTTACTGGGTTTGCAAAAATTCCACAGAACAATTTCAGCGCTTGAAAAGGCCACCAAGCTAAAAAAAGGTATTTCAAACCAGCCTCAATTATAATAAAGGTTAGAGGTTAAAATAATGATGAATAATCAAATAGTTTTTTGAAACATTAAATTTTTTTATAATTTAACATTTTAAAGTTTCATTTTCTTGTAAATCGAAAACATTGAAAACACTAAAATTACAATATCTCTTGTCCTAAATCTACGAGAATATATTATCCTATCTGTGAAATATACGAGATCTATTATCATATCTGTGAAATATACGAGATCGATTATCCTATTTGTGAAATATACGAGATCTATTATCATAGCTGTGAAACCTACGATAACATATTATCCTATCTGTAAAATCTGCGAGAATATATTATCCTATCTGGGAAATATACAAGATATTTTATCCTATCTGTGAAATATACGAGATCTATTATCATATCTGTGAAATATACGAGATCTATTATCCTATCTGTGAAATCTACGAGATCTATTATCATATCTATGAAATCTACGATAACATATTATCGTACCTGTGAAATATACGAGATCTGTTATCCTATCTGTGAAATCTACGAGAATATATTATTCTATCTGTAAAATCTACGAGATCTATTATCATATTTGTGAAATCTGCGATAACATATTATCCTATCTGTGAAATCCACGAGATCATATTATCCTATCTGTGAGATCTAAGAGATATTTTGTAATCTACAAGATTTAAAAAAAAACTTTTGTATGTTGATGTATGCTCAAGATGTTTTTTTTCTTTGTAAATTGTAATTAATGTTCTCAACCAATGCTTAGTCTTAGGACTTAGGGAGCGCTTAGGAGTGTATTGTAGTGTTGGGAGAAGGTTGAGGGAGTGTCAGGAAGATGTGTGGGTCTTTGGAGAAGGTTTAGGGAGCGGGAGGGTGTTGGGAGAAGGTTTAGGGAGCGGGAGGGTGTTAGGAAAAGGTTTAGGGAGCGGGAGGGTGTTGGGAAAAGGTTTAGGGAGTGTTAGTCTTTGGAAAAGTTTCAGGAAGTGTGGGTCTTTGGAGAAGAATTAGGGAGTGGGAGGTTATTGGGAGAAAGTTAAGGGAGTATGAGGTTGTTGGGAGAAGGTTTAGGGAGTGTGAGGTTATTGGGAGAAGGTATTGGGAGTGTGAGGTTGTTTAGAGAAGGTTTAGGGAGTGTGAGGTTGTCGGGAGAAGGTATAGGGAGTGTGAGGATGTTGGGAGAAGGTTTAGGGAGTGTGAGGTTTTTGGGAAAAGGTTCCTCTGTAAGGGTGTTGGGAGAAGGATAAAGGAATGTAAAAGTATT